CTGTGTAGAAGACGGGTTGTATAGTAGGGCTAAGTGTAAGGGGAGAGAGAGAAGTGTGATCAACATCTTAGAAATAACTAGTGGGGAGCTGTGGAAGGTTTGGCAGGGGCAGGAGAAGAAGGCCTGGCCTGGGGAGACTGTTAGTGACACTGCCCGGGACGCTAGAAGAGACCCAGGCTAGCCAGATGCCTGTCTGCGGGAGGTGGCAGGAAGCCACTGTGGGCTCTTGAGAAGATGAAGAACGAGCAGAAACTAGAGTATAGAGCTCTAGCCTAGCCATTGTGTTTGGGAAATTGAAGTATTGGAGATAACCTTCACTTTCTGATCCGGCAATGCCAAGAACAACAGTGGAATAGCCTGGAGCCGGAGCCTGAGGGCATGGTTTGGGTCCGGGCTCTTCCACTTATTTCCTGTGTGCCCTTGGGCAAGCTACTTAATCACTCTGTGCCAGCTGCCTCATCTGTAAAATAGGAACAATGGTAATAACCTCATAATGCCATTTAGAAGATTAAATGAGAAATATATATAGGGCTGAGAATAGGACCTGACACATAGTAAGTGCCATATTCATGTTAGCTATTGTTTCCAAAAACTTGGTTTCAACCCAGAAGGAAATCTTAGTTGAAATACCTGTGTTCATTTGAAAACCCCAACTTAGATTTGGAGAGAAGAACTAAAGAGACGTAAATGTTGTCCATCTTGCATCTTCTGTGAAGTTTGGCATTCTCTTGCTTCAAAACCAAGCATTTGCTTTTTTTTTTTTTTTATTTTTATTTTTTCCCATCTGTCTCTCACTTTCTCACTAAGGGTTAATTCTGCATCATCTTCCCTAAAAATCCTCGGGAAACAGAGAGGAATGCCCTCCTTTTTATTCACTCCGATCTCAGGACTGGGTTTGGGGGGACCCCCTCTGGCCCCCTCTGGCGGCCCTGCCTCAGTCAGTGACAGCCGGTCCTGCCAAAAATAAGCCGCCCTCCCTCACCCCCTGCTGGGAAGATGCTGGAGTTGGAGTTGACCCCTGACAACATCGCAACCCCCAACTCTAAAGCTGGTGAGACAGTTCGTGTTGAGTGGGCGTCACCGGGATGGAAAACAGCCGGGATGGGCGTCCAGCCCCCGCGGCGGGCCAGCGGAATCTGGCCTTTCTGGTCCACAGAATGTGCTGAGCCCAAGCCCCCCGGGCGCCCGGGTGCAGCGTCCCCGCCGGGGTGCCCCCAGGGGTCGGTGGTGCCGGGGCCTCCGAGGGGCCAGGCCCAGGGCCAGGGCACGGTGGAGGCACTGGTCCTAAGAGAAAGACAGACTCTATGGAGACAGAACAGCCCCCGCCCGTTCTTCCCGAAAGCTGCAAAACGATCGTGCGCACGCAGCTCCGTCGCAATATATGTCTGAAGCAAAGGTCTTTAATATCTTTAGCTTTAGAGACTCACCCTGGGCGGGGTGGGGAGGGGGCGGCTTTATAACAGCTGCACTCTGGTATGAAGCTTTTCCTGTCTCACACATCGTCGGCCTCTTTGAGAAAGAAAAGGCACAAGAGGGAGGAATAAAGGGGAAATCGGATGCTGATGCAGAGAGGCTCTTTGTGACTAGAATAAATGCCCGGAAAAGAGAAGCCTGAAGTAACCAGAAGACACCATTTCCCAGAGCACTGCCCAATCTGGGTCATGTGAAACCTTTAGAAGGTATCAGTTATACTGGGTGCATTGTGCTGGCTGGACTCTATGGCAACGTTCTAGTCTTTTGTGTCCTTCAGATAATGTGCCAAATTGCCTATTTAAAATCCCAACAAAAGGACGTGTCTTCCTATGCAGAGGCCCCTGATTAAGGACTCTTCTTAAGTGAGTGAACCACTTTGCAGCAAGCTGCCATCCTAATGACTATGGGCAGGGGTGGGGTGACCCGGGGCCACGGGTCTTCAGTGCTGTTGTGAGAGACGCATTAGCAGCCCTGCCCCTCCCAACAGGCCTGGTTTGCCGTCTATGGGACTGAATCCACGCTGGGCAAGTGCCATCACAGGGGGGCTGCCCCAGCTCCTCCTCATATCCTCTCCCACTGTGTCCCGACACCTCCACCTGTGTATGATGCCCCAGCATCACCACTAGCAGAGGGAGGAAACTCGGGCCTCCAAGCCCATGCAACATCTGAATTTCATGGTTTTTCTGAAGATGTGGTTTTTATGGTTGGCTGAAATCTAGCAAACACTTCTTTGTTCACTGCATTGTCTAACAGTGATCAATACTTGAAGGTTTTGAGTACACTGCTGTCTTCCTTGGGGTGGTCCATGTAGGGTCCCTTGAATTTGGAAGAGAAAAGACCACGTTGAGTATTTATCACACCCAACATAAAGGAAAGGGTGATAAGAGCTCCAGATGTAGGTTTTAGGGAATATTGCCTCTGATGGCAGTGCAGAATATTCCAGTACATGCTGTGATATGACATAATAACCTTCTGACTGATGACAAGGACTCGAGAAGAACCAAGCAGGTAGCATAGAGGGGCTTTTAGGGTGGAACTCAAGGTTAATCTGCATGATCTCCAAGGTGCCTTCCAATCCTGAATTCTCTGATTCTCTAGGAACAGTGGGGATGGTAGGAAGTGGGGATGGAGTGGGTCCAGATTTTAAAACCTGGAGTGTTAATCTGGAGGGAGGACAATTGCAATGCCAGAAGGATGACAGCTGGGAAGTGGAGACTGGGTAAGTTGATGAGCATAAGAGAGGGGCGGTGAATGGACAATCACTTAGCCAGAGCCTATAAGAAGGAGCATGGTGGGGGAGGACTTGGGTGGCTCAGTCAGTTAAGCACCTAACTCTTGGTTTCAGCTCAGGTCATGACTCAGGGTCATGAGATGGAACCCCACATTGGGCTCCATGCTCAGCCCAGAGTCTGCTTGAGATTCTTTTCCTCTCCCTCTGTCCCCCCGTCCCTTCTCTCTCTCATTCTCAAATAAATAAAAGCCTTAAAAAAGGGGGGGGGGGCTTGGACACTAGCAGGGTAATTAGAAAATAAAATTAATGGATCCTAAGCCCTCTTTGTTATAGAGGTTGAGCGGAACTGAAGATTTGTTTGCACTAAAACATGCTCTGGCTCTTCCTTGTGGCCTGAGATCTCTGCCACTTTGAGCAATATCTCTAGGGAGCAATATCTCCAGGAAGCCGTTGTGAAAATGAGCATGTGGGTCCTGCATCTAGAGGACTGTGTTAATAGAGTCCTCTGTGGCAGGACTTCAGCACAGTGTTAGGCAATCCCTTTCCTTCTCAGGCCCCCAGTGTCCCCATGCTCAGGAGTTCTAGTAGCTTTTTTTGGAGGTTCCATGAGATTTTCTACAAAAACAATCAGCTACCTGCAAATAAAGGCAATTCGAATGCATCCTTTCTGATCTTTTTGCCTTTTCTTTCTTTTTCCTTGCTTTATTGCACTAGCTGGGACTTCTGGTGTTGTGTGAAATAAAAGCGATGAGTGTTGATGCCCTTGTTCCATTCCTGACCTTAGGGAGAAAACATTTAGTGTTTCATCACTAAGAATGAGGTTTGCTATAGGTATTTCATAGGTATTATCTTGTTTGATAAGAATTTTTTTAAGAATGGGTGTTAAATTTTACCAAATGCCTTTTCTGCATCCACTGAGATGATCCTTTTCTTGCTTAAATTGTTAATGTGCTGCATTACATTCACTAAATGATTCAAATCATGGACTCTATTTTGGCAGTGAAACTGCTTTCACCTCTCGTTAACATTTCTGAAGCTGGTTTTTAAGCTTAGTTATGATGGATCCACAGCAGCCTTGACTCTTGGGCTAATTTAGGCTCACAGCTGAGACAAGGACTTTTCCAAGGACTTTACCTGATATCACATCTTTTTCTGAGATCTCTCTGCTTTGACTGGTAGGAATGGAGCCCTTCCCCTGTGCAAGAACTGAGAGTTGTATAGCAAACTTCCTGTTTGTTTTTTCCCTGCCTTGTAGAATTCCACCTGCCGATCATTCATTACTCAGCCAAAGACTCAAGGAGACCCCTCTGAAGTTCTCCAGAGCTCCATCTGCACAAATACCTCCTTCTGTCTTCTGGATCCCAGCCACCTCTATCTCCCCAGGCTCTGGCTTTTGTCTCCTCACCTCAGTGAAATTGCTAGGCTCTCTTTGGGTACCACTCCCTGTGTTCCTGTCTGGAAACTACTTGCCAGCAGTGACCAGGGCAATCATATCATGCAACTAGTTTGCTTCCTTTCTCCTGGGGATCAGAATGCTGTGCTGTCCATAATCCATGCTGAGATGGGCCATTGCATAGACTTTTACCCATTTCTAGCCATGAGGGGCAGGTCCGCAATTCCTGAAGTTATGGCTCCCCATGAACAGAGGCAGACAGTCCACCCACTGCATTTTGTTCACACTACCACCATCCCTCTTAACGCTTGTGCTAGAGCAACTTCACCTGTTTTGCACTTTGGAGTAAAAACATTTTGCATTGGAATGTTACAGAAGAGGGCACCCGTGGTGGAATTGGAAGATCTCTGCTGCTCACATAGTGGCATCAGTTATGACCACTGTAAGCCTGAGTCCCAGCTTCTCAAAAATTAGAGTAAGGATGATTTACCCACCTGCCACTCCAACATGTGGTGAGGGATAAACCAATAACGTGGGAAATAACACTCACCCTTCTAGGCACCAAACTTAGTCATCTGAGCGCTCCAACCTTCCCGTGTGGCAAACTTTTGCTCAGGCCTTACCTTCCTTCTGCTTTTGCTGGGATTGCCCCCTTTCTGGGCCACTCCTCTCTCCAACCTGTTGGCCTAGCCAAAGGTCCCTAAAATATTCAGAAGAGCCACCTGGAAATACAAGTCTTTACTGAGTTGATATCATGCTGCTATCCTAAAATGGTCACAGAGTCTTGGGTATTTGGTTGTTGAAGTTCTTTCACCTTAAAAGTACAATGTGCAATAATAGTACAAAGCTGCACACACCAGAATAACTTGAACTACAGGCTAAAAAATAATTTCTCCCCTTCAGGGCTGCCTGGAGTCACAGGAGCTCCGGGGGAGAAGGGAGACCGTGGTGAGCTGGGCTTGACTGGACATGAGGGCCCAGCAGGGCCAAAAGGAGACAAAGGAGACAAAGGGGACGTGTCCAACGACGTGCTCCTCACAGGTAAGGGGCTGGCACGTGGGCTGTCCCCAGGTGAACGGGCCCAGCGACCAGCCTGGTTTTTAGTACGAAGGCCGCTCCAGTCTTCCTTATCTGCTGTAGTGCCCACCTGCTATGCAGCCTGGTTTGGAGTTCTGTGTCTTCAAAAAGGGGGAAACCTTGAATGTTATGCCAACGTTGGCGAGACCAAATCTGAGATCTAAGCATAAGTAGTTTAGATAATTCCAGTCTAAACACCATGATTAGATTGAATTAGGATGGAGGGAGCTTCCTTTATTCCAAATAGCTATTAAGTCTAGCACAATGTAGAACAAGACAAAGAAGCCAGCAATTTAAGATACTTCAGGGGACAACTAACAGAAAGCTCAGGCATTCTCTTCCCAGGCCAGGGAGGGTCATCTTCAGATCTTTGTCCTAAGCCTTTTGGCATAGAATTAGAGTAGACATGGTTGCCAATCTCCTTTTTCTGGTTTCCAGCAGAAAGTTGGCACCTGGGAGGGTGGCAGGGTTGTAGAGACATAACAAACCACAGAAAGACAGACAGTCACGTGGTGGAAAGAGTAGATGACAGCAGATGATCATGGAGGAGGAAGAGGCCGAAGAGTTTTAAAAGCACAGTACTTCAGAGACCATTTATATCACAAAAACCTAACTATCCTTATGTATTCAATAAATATTTTTGAATGTCAAAGAACACCATTTATGAGTCAGAGACTTTGCTAGTAGCTGGGAATATGAATATGAAAGTGAGCGAGACAGGACATCTGTCCTGAAGAAGCTAGGACACTAGGATGCTAGAAGCTTCTGAGCAGAAGCTTGACCACTAGGTGATGAGCACTAAGGAGGGTTCTTGATGGGATGAGCACTGGGTGTTATACTATGTGTTGGCAAATTGAATTTAAATAAAATATTTTAAAAATAAATTTTAAAAGGTAGAGCACTCACACCAGTGACCTATGATTCTCATAGGCAAGACAGGATGAGATTCAGTCAGATTCATGAGATTCTTCATTTGAAGAAAGAGGGTCAAATGGTTAAGCTGCCTGCCCAAGGTCAAGGGTAGGCAGGCTCCCCTGATTTCTTCTAACACACAGAGCAGTGCTTCACATACCTGGCAGCATATGAGGAGGCTTTAAAAATTATGGATGACCAGTCTCCCCACCATTTTGACCTAACTATTTTGCGTGGGGTCTCAGCATTAGAATTGTATCAGAGCTCCTTAGATGATTCTAATAAGCAGTCAGGGTTGAGATCCTTCAACATGGCCAGTGACATGAGCATGAGCTTTGTCTCGAGACATACCTGAGGTTGAGTTCCCACCCTATTCCCAGTTGTGACCTTGGTCCAAGTACCAAACTTCCCCAAGACTTGGGTCACTGAGGAGCTACTAATACTGTCTCACAGAATGGTTGGGAAGAACGATGAGGAGGAGATTTGTAAAATTCTTCGCACAGTTCCTGGCACATAGTTGGAACTCAACATCCACTATGGGTGCTTCCTCAACTTTGCATGGACAAGTGCTAGGACACAGTTATGTCAGGGAAGGGGGGCTCAGCAATCCTCCCTGGAGCTACCCATTGTCCTTTCTCCTAGGAGCAACCCATCTCTGTTTATGGTGCTTGAATCAATCTCTCTCCCTGCCCCCTTCTTTCTCTGCAGGTGCCAAGGGTGACCAAGGCCCTCCTGGCCCCCCAGGACCCCCAGGCCCTCCAGGTCCCCCAGGACCCCCTGGAAGCAGACGAGCTAAAGGCCCTCGGCAGCCAAACATGTTCAATGGCCAGTGTACAGGTCACCAGCCCCTGCCCCAGGGAACCCACCTCTTTGGTTAATGATCCCAAACTCTCAGGCTTCACTCAGGCTTTGCAATCAGAATTTTTTAAACAGAGGGAGGAGATTTTTGACTGAAGTGAGAGATCCCCCTTGAGACAGGCTGCTTGGGCAGTCTGCCCTGAGGGTGAGAACTTGTAGCAGGTTTAGAATTGGGCCTCCTCACCCTCCCGTCTTTTATCACCAGCCTATTTCTCTTCCTTGCCAAATCCATCATCCCTTCCCCTGAAACAGTCTCAAAGGCTAAGCCATTCACTCTGGGAGTGTGAAGGGCTTGGCTGATGATGCTGGGGAGACGAGGGGGAGGTTCAGCTTGGTTAACTTCCCACAGTACTACAGTTCAGCCCTCACCACCGCTAAGCTTTGCATGCTAACCACGCGTGGGGCACAGTGCTAAGTGCTTAGTTCATTGGATTCTCACAGCAGTGTCATGACACAGGAATTGGTATTGCCGCCAACATACAGATCCAACACTGAAACCCCAAGGAGCTGTGTAGCTTGCCCAAGGTCACTCCATTAGTAAGTGACAGAGCTGGGATTCACGTCTGCCTGGCTCTGAAGCTCTGCTCTTAGAGAGCTTTCCTTTCAGAGATGGAAATTCTGACTTTGAGATTAAGCCAACCAAAGGCTAGGGACACTGATTTCTGGAAGGCCAAGGGGACTTATTTGTTGGCCAGTCTGTGACAGAGGTGGCCATAGGATTGAAAGCTAATTACGATGAAGGGCCATATGAATGAAAAACACTTCTAATGTGATGCTAGAACTTCTCCCCAGAGTGGTGACCTGGGACCTACTCACCTGCTAAGGCCATGAGAGGGCACAACTTGATGCCATCACTTCAGTGGCAAACAGAGAAAGGAGGATCCTGCCTGGAGTTTCTTGCACACTCATTGTGAATCTCACTGCCACCTCCCTAAGCTGTCTTTAGTTTTGTTTGCAGGAAGACATTTTGGGCGCACATGCTCAGCTGTCAGAGTGGGTGAATCTGTGCTTTCAAAGATGTCACCCCCCTCACCCCCCCCCCCAGTCAGTGGAAACTGACTGTAACTCTGCCCAGCAGTTAGTTCCATGACCCTCTGCCACCCACTCCATTAGCACCAGCTCTTTGTTCAGCTGCCCTCAGAGAATGAGCTGAGCTGCAACCTTCGCCTGGGAGAAGGGGGGAATCTGACCTGGGCCTTTACAGAGTCCTGGTTTGCCATAGGCTGTGGCAGCCAGGACACAGGTGCTTGGAGGAGAAGTACCCGTCCCTGCCTCACCTGCGTAAGAAGCTGGTCAGCAGGGGCTGGACCTCCGTATTGTGAAAACTGCATTGAATGAGAGCTGTAATCTTCCGCTCTGCCTCCTAGAAATGAGTCCTCGGCATGCATCTTGCACCTGAACTTGCCTTCTCTCCTCCTCCAGTCCCATTTCTTTAGGCCCCTTCCCTCCCCCACAGCTCTAGAAGCAGGTTGGTACAAGATGAATTAATGAGAGCCTTTTCTTCAGACTAAGAATAGGGGAGTCTCTCTGTACCCTTCCTGTGCAACCACGTCCCTTAACAGAAACTCCAGATGAAACTCAGAGGCAGCAGGATTGCATGTGGGGGAGTCATAACAGAACCCCAAGACTGCCCTCATCAGGGGACAGGAGGACTTGAGGGAGACACAGGCTCATCCCGCTAGAAAGAAGCTTAGAGTACATGGGGTCCTGCCCTTTATTTCACTAATAAAGAAACCTTTCTAGATTATTCTGAGAGCTTGGGACAGCAGAGGTGCCCCTTTCTATCTAGCAACTACAGGTGATTTGAACCTCTCAGAATTGGTCTAGGTGAGTGGGCTGAACTTCTCCAAAAACCTTGATTTGCGTCTGCTCCCCTGCAGCCCCAGACCAGGTCCTTCTCCTCGGCCAGTTCACTCCCTCTGTCTTCACACTGGCCATGTTCCTCCCTTCTGTCCTGCTTCGGCTAACCTTAGACACCTCTTCACTAAAGGTGTGGATGAAGCACATCTGTTAAAGGGATCAATTATAACCCAGGTAGGATGACTTCTAGCTTGGGTATAGCTTCCAGCCAACTATGAATCAGGCGCCTGTTGAGGACCTCTGTCCCATAGACCTTCAAGCAGACACAGGTGGGAGATGGTGGAGGAGAGCTCAGGGCTCCTTCTTCCTCTGTGGTTCCTCCCTTTGGCAGTCCAGGAAGACAAGATATAGGTGACTACCCTATCCTGAGGCCCCATCAGCTTCCCTGAAAGTGAGAATCCTTCCAGGAAAATGGAATCCGTGATGGTAATACCACCTAGCCAGATGGGCCAGGAAAGTGTCAGAAAGGCTCTCCTCTCCCTCCAACCCCAGAATGCTGAGGGCTTGAACAGGCCACTTTTACCCTTTCACTGACATCCTCTTGGGATTGTATTATCTTAGCAGCTGTGATTATGGAAAGCTTGTGGGGAACTCACCAAGTGGAGGGTGGGGGCCAGGTGGGGGAATTAGAAGTGTATGACTTGTTGCTTAAAAAAGCAAGCCACCAAAGAACTTGGTGGGCCTATTGTAGGGGCTGCTTATAGGACTAGAGTCTGAAATGAAGTGAGGGGAAGCACCAGTTATAACATTACACAAATCTCACTATGCCACCTGCACTTGCTCTGATTCTTGTCATCGTTGTTTTAGGTGAGACATGTGTGATACCAAATGATGACACCTTGGTTGGAAAAGCTGATGAGAAAGTCGGGGAACACCATTCTCCACTAGCAGGTTCAGAAGCAAAGCATCTTGTTTTGAAATTCAGATATTGGATGCCTTAAAGTCATAACTGGTAGATGAGTAATTTTCCTTTCTCTTCTTTTGGTAGAATCCATGATCGCTTCCATCGGAAGTCCGACACAAGTATTGAAAGTTACAGAGACATTTGGGACTTGGATAAGAGAGTCTGCAAACAACAGTGATGAACGGATCTGGGTGACTGAACATTTCTCAGGTACCTTCACTTGTCAATGACTCGTGTCTGTGTTGTAGTTTTCTCTTCATCTGTTGCCTGCCTTCAGGCTTATTCTATTTCTGTGTGTCTGAAATCCCTACCGACTGGTGTCACAGAACTGCTCGTTATTTTCGAAAGCACAAAGGAAGGAATGGGCAGACCACTTTTCTCAGTTGAGCACGCTGATGACAAGCCTCACAGCTCAAATCACCGGGGCATGACCAGGGTGCTCCCAGTGTAGCTTATCCAGTTTTAGGCGAAGTATCTAAAAGGGAACAAATAGCATTATGACTACAGCCTTATAAAGCCCAAAACCACAATGTGGAAGAAACATCAGAAACAAATTTTCGTGCACCCTCCATCTTTCTGTAAGGAGAGTACTTTTGGCCATCTTTCCTAGATACCTGTTGGACAGAGAGTCCAGGGGACAAGGTGAAGTGCCATCGTGCAGCATGCTGCATCTAAGCATGGCCCTGGTTATGCTATCCTGGAGGCATGGTCAGAGATTGCCAGTGGTGGTAGCAGTAGCCTCATTCCTAAAGGGGTCTGGCTACACTCACTGGTCAGAGCAGTTGCCGAGAAACTGCTTCATTTCCTCAGGGCTCAGTGATCAGCTGGTAGTGACTGCCCGGATTCCAACAGAGAGGGACTCGTGCCTCAGAAAGAAAGAGGAACACTGAATTAGCAGTGGCAGGAGAAGGTGGAGGTGACTGCCCAAGTGCCAACTATTTGCTGTTCCCAGTACAGCCTATGTCAGTCTGATAGAAGATTTCATAAACAATCTAGAGAGTTCTGGGAAGGAGTGATACAGTTGGCCTGGGAGGAGCAAAGCCAACTCTGTGGCTTCTATCTTTGAAGGACAGTTCAGGAATCCAGAGAAGAGAACTGGACTTTGGGTCTGGGGGTCTGAGACTCCAACCTGGACACGGACCCTTGCAAGACACCTCACTCTTGACTTCCGTTCCTGTAACTCCCTCCCCTGACTCACTCCCATGCCTTTCCCTGGCTTTTCCCCTGCAGGCATCAGGGTGAAGGAATTCAAAGACCAACCCTCACTCCTGAATGGCAGTTACACACTCGTGCACCTCCCCTATTACTTCCATGGCTGCGGGCATGCCGTTCATAACAACTCGCTCTACTACCACAAAGGAGGCTCCAACACCATAGTGAGGTGAGTCATCCGGGCCACAGCCGCCCTCCCCACACATCGCAGACAGCACCTGTGTGGTGCTTTAGTTATCTGAGAGCTACTTAGGGGGTGGGACAGTGGTTCCCTCAACTTTCTGTCCCCAGAACCTGGTACACAGGGTCAGTCAGGGTTTGCTGACTAAGTGAACCACAGGACACAGTGAGTGAGCCCCAGGACCCAGCCCTGGCCTGGGGTCTGCTGTACTGCTGGTGGGGATACCAAGAGTGAGGACAGAGCCAGAGAGTAGACCTGGAGACACCAGGATAAGCCTTCTTATCCTTTGAGAAAAGAGGCAGGAAGAACCAAGGGCTCCCTTGTCAGGAAGGTGTCACACCCCGAAGTCAGTTTTATCCTGAAAACCCTTGGGTGTGAAGAATGTCCCATCACGGCTCTGATCATTGAAGACCAAAGACTGAAGATGGTGTGAAGTCAGGGGTCTTTGTGTTCTGACTGATCTGTCGTCCTGACGGGACCCTCACCAGGCTACCTCTCCTCCTCTTTGCTCTCCCAAGGGAGGTGGTCCCCTGGGTAGACTGAGCAGTGTCTTCCTGGCTCCCCAAAAGAAGTGCTAAAATTTTGTCTTTGTGGCTCAAGAGGAAATCAAGCTCTAGGCTTTAGAGGCAGAAGCAGGTCATCTTGGGCAAGTCAAGAAAGCAGGGAACTCAGTCAGGGTCCAGCTTCCCCTACTCACTGTGTGGCTTTGGAGGAGACCCCACCTCCTGCGGGCTGCAGGTCCTCATAAGACTGAGAGGAGGGCCCAGAGCCTCTGCAGCCTTGCAGCAGTACCCCTATCTGAAATGACGCCAGTGTTATGAAAGCCACAGTCCCAGTCATTCAAAACAAGAGATAAGGACCCAAGGGAAAACTGGGTCCGTCATCTCTCTCCCTCACCACCTTCCTCCCCTGGAAGAGGCCCAGCTGGAATGACTTTGCTGGCGTTAGAGTGTGGGTCAGGCTGGGGACAGGACACACATCAGCTGAGGCTGGAAGCATCCCCGCCTTGGCCTCTCATCCCCTCTACCAGAGCCCCCATCGTTTCAACATCTCCCTGGCTACATCATTTGGATGAGTCTTGTACTACAGAAAACAGCAACCAGCCTACCTCCTGCTCAGAAGTCAGCACTTCCCGGCATGCTCCTCCCTGTGACTCCTCCTCATTAAATCCTGCAGTTCCCTACTGGCCCTGGGATGGTTTTACATAGGGATGAGGGCCATAAGGGAGTTCTGGGGTGAATGAGCCCTGGAAAGAGGATTGGCCACTCCAAGAAAAAGTGTTTTGTTGTTTTTTTTAAGATTTTATTTATTTATTCATGAGAGACATAGTCTTTTAATGAAGCTTAGCATGTGATGCACTGCTTAGGCCTGTCCTGCAGCCCTGCCCTCTACCAGGCCTCAGGCAGGGGGTCGGGGATGGAGGGTCATGGGGGTGGGGGACAGGTTGGAATCAGACCCTGTTTCTCCTGCAAGGGACAAGCCCTTTGGAATGCAGCCGCTAGGCACCAGGACCAGAGCAATGGTAGGATGGACCAGATGGCAGTCCTGACGTCAGAGGACTGAGAAGCCTCTGAGCTGAGCTGGGCAGGCAGCGCTTACAAGCCCTCACTTTCTTCTGGCTTCTTTTCACACTTACTTGGGAGGTTTCCTAATTGGCTTCCAGTTGGTTAGCCACAGTTCTGCTTTCCTCGGCTCTTCAGCTGCTCAATGGCTCCCTCTTGTGCCTTTCTTTTATTTTAGCCTGATGTTTCTAAATTTTCATTCCTGGAGTTAGGTAACTTTTGAATCATAATCAACTTTTTGACAGAGTCTGGATTTAGAGTCTGCAAATCAGGCCACCTGCAGGAGCGGAGGGCCATGGGAGTCCACGCTGTAGCTCAATACATCCTGTCACTCTCCTGACAATAAAGTGGACTTCATGGCCATGACTTTGCCACATCTGTTCTCAGTGGGCGCTTTTCTTCTTCATTGAGACTGCTGTGACATTTTTGTCTTAAAAACTCCAGCATGGGGCTCTCTGGGTGGCTCAGTGGTTAGGCGTCTGCCTTTGGCTCAGGGTGTGATCCCGGGGTCCTGGGATCGAGTCCCACATCAGGCACCCTACAGGAAGCCTGTTTCTCCCTCTGCTAGGTCTCTGCCTCTTTCTGTCTCTGCCTCTCATGAATAAATACATAAAATCTTAAAAAACAAAACAAAACAAAAACCTCCTAGGATAGGAGAACTCCCAAACTTGCAGTTAGAAAACTTAAATTCAAACTCTGGCTACTCACTTATATTCTCAGGCCAGTCACTTCTCCTTTCTCATTTGTGAAATGAAAAGGCTGGACTAGATCATTTTTAAGGCCCCTTGCAGGTCTAAGAATCTTAGGGCATTTCAGGAGGTTAGCAAACACCTGAGGAGTCATGAGGGTAAGGAATTTTCCTGGGGCTACATGGCTCGCAGGTGCACACTGAGAGGTAGTCACCATCCTTTACATCCTTGATGTACAGAGCATAGGGTAGACCAGTGGAAAGAGCGTGGCCTAGAATGTAGAAATGCAGAGTCCCAGGGTGCTTAGTGGCTCAGTTAGTTAAGCATCTGCCTTTGGCTCAGGTCATGATCCCAGAGTCCTTGAATCGAGCCCCATATTGGGCTCCCGGCAAAGCAGAGAGCTTTTCCTTCTCCCTCTGCCTGCTGCTCCCCCTGCTTATGCTGTCTCTCTGTCAAATAATCTTAAAAAAAAAAAAAAAACCTGCATAATCCTAGGCCCCACTCAGTTTACTAGGTAGCCACAAACAAACCAAACTACCATTGTCCACGAAAATGCTGACTCATATCTACCTTTTTACACATTTCAGATTTGAATTTGGCAAAGAAACATCCCAAACTCTGAAGCTTGAAAACGCCCTGTATTTTGATCGAAAATACCTCTTTGCCAATTCCAAGACTTACTTCAATTTAGCTGTGGATGAGAAGGGCCTTTGGATTATCTATGCTTCAAGTGTGGATGGCTCGAGCATTCTGGTCGCCCAGCTGGATGAGAGGACATTCTCTGTGATGCAACATATCAATACCACGTACCCCAAAACCAAGGCCGGCAATGCCTTCATTGCCCGAGGGATCCTTTATGTCACAGACACCAAGGATATGAGGATAACATTTGCTTTTGATTTGTTAGGAGGGAAACAGATCAATGCTAACTTTGATTTAAGAACTTCCCAGTCTGTTCTTGCCATGTTATCATACAATATGAGAGACCAGTATTTATATTCGTGGGAAGATGGCCATTTAATGCTTTATCCTGTGCAGTTTTTGTCATCGGCATTAAACCAGTGATAAGATTCACTCTGTTCGCCCTCAGTAACTTTCAGATGTTCTCTGGCACCATTTATACCCCAACATAAATCTTGTCTTTAGGGTAACCAGGTATTTAGCTGTAGTCTCATGAGGTGAGTGTTGATATGGTCAGGGATCCCCCTGCAGTTCAGATTCCTTAGGGGTACATAGCAAAGACTTGCAGTCAAAATAGCTGAGATTTGGCGATTTCTCCACAGACTGGCTGGGTGAGTTACACCCCTTCCTCTTTAGGGCCTTATTTTTCCTGACTGATAATATGAAAGGGCTGGTGAGAATGATTAGCAAGATTTCCTCTACCTGTAGGAAACTCTGTTGCTGCTCTCACAACTGTTACATATTTGATTTTGTTTGGGGGTATTTAGCCACATGCTGAGCAAATTTACCTTGGAGCTGATAAGCCCGATTGCTTGAGCAGTGAAAGCCTTAGTACTGACTTGTACTCAGTGTCTTGGGCGGCCGCACGGACCCTTTCAGGCTACGGAGGGACCTTATTACCGTTACTTATTACCTTTCTCTGCCTCTGCACCTGCCACCACAGCTCCAGAATGAAAATTACCCTCGGCTCCCGATTGCGGCTCAAGATAAGCAAAAGCCAGACACAGCTACGTGCTCAGGTTTGCTAATGAAACGGGAACAGGCCCTTCAGGCTCCTGTCCATCTCGGGTAGTGCTGATTTGCAGCTGGGGGTAAATGTTGACTCCTCAGGCCCCCCTAGCTGCTTCTTGCACTGCTACGCCTCTGCTCTCAGAGCACAAAATATTGTGTAAGGAGGCATTCGTCTGGCTAGGACCATGGGAAGCACTTTGTGGTTTTCGGGAGAGGTACCATATGTGGTTATTATCTAGAACAGGGACGGGCAAACTATGGCCCTTCGGCCAAACTTGCCCACTGCCAGATTTTGTCAGTTGCGTTGGAATAGTTACAAGCATTTGCTTGCGTAGCCCAGCTTGTAACTCCTTTTGCTCAGCAATGGCAGAACTGAGTCACTGCAAAGAATTTGAGCAGGGGCCTGCAAAGCCTGAAACGTTTACCCGCTGGCCCTTTACAGCAAACGTTTGCCGACCCCTGGTCTAGGATGTAAAGTGAGCCTGACTGTTGGAAGGCTTATTCACCGCGGGCTCTTTGTTATGTTTTGTTTTATTCCACCCTAAGAAGGAATAATTTATATGGTTTGAGTGTTTGGTCGAGGGGAAGGGTGAGAACAGTATAAAATTAAGGGGACCTCCCCAAAAGCAGTTTGTAATCTGCTCTTTCCCTAATAGGTTTTTTTTTTTCCTAGGTTTTATTTATTTATTCATGAGAGACACAGGGAGAGAGAGACACAGGCAGAGGGAGAAGCAGGCTCCATGCAGGGAGCCCGACGACGTGGGGTCTTGATCCCGGGTCTCCAGGATCACACCCTGGGCCAAAGGCAGGCGCTAAACCGCTGAGCCACCCAGGGATCCCACTGATAAAGTTTTAAAGAATATGATCTGGTCTCCTTGGACGCCAGGAGACAAATCTAGCTTAACTTGCACCTGAATACCCTATGTTTCTGCCAAATCAGTTCTTCAAACATTCTGCAGCCTGGGGTCCAGGCAGGGCTGCTAAGAAGAGAGAGGAATCTGGAGAGTTACTGGGTCCTACAGCGAGGAAGGGGGCCTAGGGAAAATCTTACGCAAAGATTTTTCATCAATTTGCCTTTACTGAATTCATGTGTGTGGAGGAGGAGAGCTACATGCTCCGGGTTCCCCCCACCCCCCATAAGTTTCAATTCATACTCGGTCCTGAGTTGGTGGCTTTATACCTTATTAAAAGAAGCATTTTAAAACTTAGAGGCTTTACAGATTTGAATATTTAAATCCTCCTAACTCCTGAAAACACTTAGGCAGCTACTGGGGACTTCTTGTATTCTCAAAATAGCAGATATTTGAAATTTGTTCTCCACTTTATCACATTGGTTGTGTCATGTCAGCATAGCTTTTTAAAAAACTCTTCGAATTCATGTTTTGTAACAAAGTAAAATAGTTTCATGTTTAAGATCAATGCATCTGATGAATACTAGTCTTCTTTTAAAGTATTTAAATATATGTGTTGCTGTTTCTGCACACAGGGGACCTGGGTATGAATACAGTTTCATAGTAACAGTGATATTAGTAATAATAATAGTATACAATACTAATTGTATATATGGTAGAAACCAAAACAGGTTATTGAATTAACACACATTCCTTTTAGAAAAAAATTTTTTAGAAGCCTCAGTCTTGATATCTGAGCTATCCTGGCTCCTTTGACTGTGGGTATGGAATCATATACTTCTAGAAAAACTCATACTGGGATTTTTTTTTTCCCATGGCAGAGGGACAATGGAGTCTGACCAAGGTATAATGGGTAACGCTATAATATGGTTGAAAGTTTGTCTTTACGTGTACAAAAAATTAAGATTTTACTCATTCTTGCCCGCAAACCCTACTTTAAAAAAAAGTTTGGGCTCACTGCTAAAATAGAACATACAGCCTAATGTTTTAAAGCCAAGATATCATTTTAGAAGTTTACACTGTCACTTACAATCAAAGTTGCTTTAAAGCACTTTCCAAATATCTGCACTTCTGATGTCAGAATCAAAGCAGATAATACTCTAATGCTTCTTTAATCTAATGTAGATAGCTCTCCTCTGGAAAGTAAATAACACCATCCTCCCAACCTCAAATGTAGGCTGGACCCTGTTTCAAAGCGTTTTCTCTCAAACTGATAATGTGTCCTATTGAAGCCATGCAGGCGGTGATGGGCTCAGCGTATCACTAAGCACAGATGTTATGACAGAGAAATAGCCCTGGGGTGGAAGTTTTAAAATGAAATGTTCTGGTTTTAGGCCCCTTCACAGTCTAATTACCTTCAAGGTTGCAAAGTGAAGGTTCAAATGAGATATTATGATCCTTGAAGGAGCCACAAGTCCTTCCAAGTTCGTTACTACACAGGTGGGCTGTGACTATTTGATGTCAAACCATCTGAAGAAGCGTGTATCTGAAGAAAAGGGCTTTTCAGTTTTCACCCCACTGATGTGACCTAGTATAGCAAGCTATTAAAAGGGATAATTTCCAGTCTGTAACCACAGGTCTGAACCATTCTGAACAATGAATGAATCCTGAGGAATGGCTCTTTTCTGGTTGTCATTACTTCACATTAGCCAGTAAAATAATCACTGCTAAATATAATCACATGTTGAAACAAGTGTATTCTTATTTCTTGTTAATTTACATGTAACATTTAAAAGAAAAAATAACAACCCAAAACAGTACTATGGAAGAATTATATTGGTTGCTCCTCTGTTGAAACTCTTGCAATTTGCTAACTCCGGAAAACCCAAAAGTCATTGATGTGGACTAAGTGTTCTCTATAGGAAAACATGAAAACTATATAAAGTTAGTAACTAGAACCAGAAGCAGATAAATGCAATGAAGATCTGCTAATTTATTGGCATAGGCAAAGCAACTTGAAAAGAACATAACATTTTGGCCTAAAAATTAAAAAGGACAGGTTTAAAAAGAAAAAACTATAAAACCTGACTTTGTGTGAATTTGGGCAGGTATCTTCATCCCTCAGTGCCTGTTTCATCTGTATAATGTATAATAGCATTCTTACTTCCTTGAATTTTTCTATGAGAAATGAAAAGTGCTATGAAAATTATACAATTCTTGAGGAATTATTATTACATTTATAGTTCATCCCTAGGGAGAATCAGAGTGATCCCATTGTTCTCACAGCCTGATTCAGAGGCCACAGAAATGGATCAGGGCCATGCCACATGGTTTCTGTCCATTGGCCTGTTCGACTAGTTAGTTAACACTTCATACCAGCACTAAGCAAAAAGAGTTCTTAGTTCTACAACAAATTTACAATAAAACTGGGCCAAATAATGAAAAATACTGTTTGAGAACCTGTTGCCCTGACCGGTAGAGCTTCTTTCTAACCTCCTCTAAAGGGTCTGTGCTGTTGGGTAGCCCACGCATGAACTGATGATGACTTTTGTAAACAAAAAATTACAAAGCAAAAAGCAAAAAAAAAAAAAAAAAAAAGCCCATAAAAAATAGTAGTATCGCTCCTTTATCATTCAAATTTAAGTTAGTTACCATAGAGTGTAGTATTGGTTTCAGGGGTAGAATTTAGTGATTCATCACTTAGATACAATACCTCGTGCTCATTACATCACAAGCCCTCCTTAATGCCCATCACCCAGTTTCCCCATCTTCCTACCCACCTCCCCTCCAGCAACCCTCAGTTTGTTTCCTAGAGTTAAGAGTCTCTTACAATTTGCCTCCCTCTCTGTTTATCTCATTTTAATTATCCTTCCCTTCTCCAATGTTCATCTGTTTTGTTTCTTACATCCCACATATGGGTGAAATTATGTGATATTTGTCTTTCTCTGACTTATTTCACTTAGCATAATAACCTTTAGTTCCATCCACATTGCTGCAAATGGCCAGATTTCATTCTATTCGATGGGTGGGATATTTCATTATATGTATATATCACATATTTTTTTAAGATTTTATTTATTTATTTATTCATGAGAGACACACAGAGAGAGGCAGAGACATAGGCAGAGGGAGAAGCAGGCTCCATGCAGGGAGCCCAATGTGGGACTGATGTGGGACTCAATCCCAGGACCCTGGGATGATGCCCTGAGCCAAAGGCAGACACTCAACCACTAGGCCACCCAGGCATCCCTATATCACATCTTATTTATCCATTCATCAATTGATGGACATTTGGGCTTTTTTCATAATTTGGCTATTATTGACAGTGCTGCTATAAACATTGAGGTGCTTGTGCCCCTTCAAGTCAGCGTTTTTGTATCTTTTGGATAAATACCTGGTAATGAAATTGCTGGGTTGTAGGGTAGCTCTATTTTTAACTTTTTTTTTTTTTCCAACTTTTTGAGGAACCTCCATCCTGGTTTCCAGAGTGGCTGCATCAGTGTGCATTCCAACCAACAGTGTAAGAGGGTTCCCCTTTACAGTGCCTCACCAACATGTGTTGTTTCCTAAGTTGTCAATTTTAACCATTCTGACCAGTGTGATTATCTCATTGTGGTTTTGATTTGCATTTGCCTGATGATGGGTGATGTTGAACATTTTTTCATGTCTCTGTTGGCCATGTGTATGTCTTCTTTGGAGAAATGTCTGTTCATATGTTCTACCCATTTCTTAACTGGATTATTGTTGGGGTGTTGATTTTCATGAATTCTTTATAGATTCTGTATACTAGCCCTTTATCCAATATGTCCTTTGCAAATATCTTTTCTCGTTCCATAGGTTGCCTTTTAATTTTGTTGATTGTTTCCTTTGCTGTGAAGAAGCTTTTTTTTTTTTTTTTTTAATCTCAATGAAGTCCCAGTAGTTCATTTTTGCTTTTGTTTCCCTTGCCTTTAAGAAATATCTAGTAAAAGTTGTGGTTGAGGTCAGAGAGGTTGCTGCCCTGTTCTCCCTTAGGATTTTTATGGATTCTTTTTTTTTTTTTTAAAGGTTTTTTTTTTTTAATTTTTTTTATTATTTATTTATGATAGTCACAGAGAGAGAGAGGCAGAGACACAGGCAGAGGGAGAAGCAGGCTCCATGCACCGGGAGCCTGATGTGGGATTCGATCCCGGGTCTCCAGGATCGCGCCCTGGGCCAAAGGCAGGCGCCAAACCGCTGCGCCACCCAGGGATCCCATTTTTATGGATTCTTATGTTACATTTAGGTCTTTCATCCATTTTGAGTTTCATTTTGTGTATTATAAGGAAATGGTCTAGTTTCATTCTTCTGCATGTCCCTGTCCAGTTTTTCCAGCACCATTTGTTGAAGAGACTGTCTCTTTTCCAATGGATATTGTTTCCTGCTTTGTTGAAGATTAATTGACCATATTATTGTGGGTTTATTTCTGAGATCCTTATTCTGTTCCTATTCCATCAATCTACCTTTGTGTTGGTATTACTCTGCCTCAATGATTACAGTTTTGTAATACAGCTTGAAGTCTGGGATTGTGATGCCTCCTGTTTTGTTCTTTTTCAAGATTACTTTGGCTATTTGGGGTCTTTTCTGGTTCCATACAAATTTTAGGATTGTTTGTTCTAGTTCTGTGAAAAACGGGGGCATTATTTTAAATGAGATTGCATTGAATGTGTAGATTGCTTTGGGTAGAGTAGACATTTTAATAATACTGTGCTCCCAATCCATGAGTGTGGACTAGTTTTCCGTTTGTCTCACCTTCAGTTTCTTTTTTTTTTTTAATAATAAATTTATTTTTTATTGGTGTTCAATTTGCCAACATACAGAATAACACCCAGTGCTCATCACCTTCGGTTTCTTTTATGTTTTTTATTGTGCTAAGAGTACAGGTCTCTAAGCTCCTTGGTTAAGTTTATTCCTAAGTATTCTATTATTTTTGATGCAGTTGTAAATGGGATTATTTTCTTGATTTCTCTTTTTGCTACTTCAATATTAGTTATAGGACTGCAACAGATTACTGTATACTGATTTTGTATTCTATGACCTTATTAAATTCATATATCAGTTCTACTGATTTTTTTTTTTGGTAGAGTCTTTAGAGTTCTCTATCTATAGTATCATGTCATCTACAAAGAGTAAAAGTTTTACTTCCTCCTTGCTGATTTAGACACTTTTCATTTCTTTTTGTTGTCTGATTACCATGGCTAGGACTTTCTATATTATGTTGAATAAAAGAGGTGAGAGTGGACATCCTTGTTTTGTTCCCAATCTTAGGGGGAAATCTCAGTTTTTTACCATTGTTGTTACCTATGAGTTTTTCATATGTGGGCTTTACTATGTTTCCTCTAAACCTACTTTGTTAGGGTTTTCATGAGTGGATGTTACACATTATCAAATGCTTTTTCTGCATCTACTGAAGTGGTCACAAGGTTTCTGTCCATTCTCTTTTTGACGTCATATATCACATTGATTGATTTGTGAATATTGAACCCCCCTTGCATCCTAGGAATAAATCCCATTTTATCATGGTGAATCATTGTTTTAATAATATGTTGTTAGACTCCATTTGCTAATATTTTCTCAAAGATTTTTGGATCTGCATTCTTCAGTGATATTGGCCTGTAGTTCTCTTTATTTGTAGTGTCCTTATTGGATTTTGGCATCAGCATGATGCTGGCCTCACAGAATGAATTTGAAAGCTTTCCTTCCTCTTGTATTTTTTGGAATAGTTTGAGAAAAATAGGTTTTAACTGTCTTTTAAATGTTTGGTAGAATTCACCTATGAGGACATCTGGTCCTCAACTTTTGTTTGGGAGTTTTTTGGTTACCAATTCAACTTCATTGTTGGTAATCAGTCTGTTCAAATTTTCTGTTTCATCCTGCTTCAGTTCTGGTAGGTTATATGTTACTAGGTATTTATTCATTTCTTCTAGGTTGTCTAATTTGCTGGCATATAAATGCTCATAACATTCTCTTATAGTTCTTTTTATTTCTGTGGGTTTTTTTTTTTTTAACCATCATTTCTGGTTTTGTTCAAGTTTTCTTTCTTTCCTTCTCTTCCTTCTTCTTCTTCTTCTTTTTTTTTTTAATGAGTCTGGTTAAACATTTAGCTATTTTGTTGATCCTTTAAAAAAAAAACCAGCTCCTGGGGATCTCTGGGTGGCTCAGCAGAGGCTCTTTGCCTGTTGTAGGCTATGTTTGGCCCCTGGCTGGGTGGGCTGTATATTAATAAGGTGTGTGCCATATTGGAAAATGAGACCAAAGTGTGGGGCAGGGAGGTGGGGCTTGGTGTAAGCAAGTTAGGCAGTGAGTGTCGTGGTTTCTGCTGGTGACCATGTGTCTATGCTGAGGGGGTAGGGCAGGGAAATGGTGCATGCCAGCTCCTTTGTTCCCGGAGGAGTCTCCTTGTGCTCCCTGCCTCTTGGAACCACACTCTGAGATGAGTAAATCACTCTCCCTCCCTTCTGCTCTACTCATTTTTCAATCTGCTGTGCCCATGTTGGATTTCCACTGGCTGTTTATTGTGTTGTCCCTTTAAATGCGGGGACTCCACTTCCTAATGCCCTTGAGGCTCACCCAGAGCCCAAAGCCAAGCCTGATTTTTAAAATTCCAGGCTTTAAGTCCCATGGTTATTAAGAACTTATAAGATTTGGCCCCTGTTGCCTTCAGAGGTAAGTGTAATGGGGATCTGTCTTCTAGTGTGATAGGCTGTTTATCGGCCTTCTCTGCTCCACCAGTTCTCTCCAGACCACGAATGGCCATGGTCTGTTTCACTTCCAAACAGCATCTTTGCCCTTCCTACCTTCTTTGATGTGGTCTCCTCTCTACTTTTAGTTGTGGAGTTTGTTTTGCCAGTCTTCAGGTCATGTTCTGGATTATTTACACTGATGTGAATATTACATAGCTGTATCCATGGGATGAAGTGAGCTTTGGGTCCTCCTTCTCCACCATCTTCCCTTAGGTTGTAAGCCTTTATTTCTTTAATTATATATTTTTTACTCCTATGTAGGAACCCCAGGATGCATATATTGGGCTTTTAAAGGTTTTTCTTCAACTCACTGAGGCTGTTTACTTTCTTCTAATGTTTGTTTCTTTTGGGAGTTTCTATTGTTCTATTTTCACATTTAGTAATGTTTTCTCCTGCAGTGTGTAATCTGTGAATCCCATCCAGTGTATTTTTCATCTCAGATATTGTAGTCTGTAGTTCATTTCTAGAAGTTTTGATTTTTTAATGCTTTATTCTCTCCAGTTAACATGTCTAAAGCTTCTGAACATATAGTATACACTTATAATAACTATTTTAATATCCTTTACTATTACCTGTGTTATTTCTGGACTATTTTTTGATGGATTGAATTTTCTCCTCAGTAGGCTCATAGCCTACTTCTTTTCACGCTTGGTAATTTTTATTAAATGTCAAACATTATGAATTTTACCTTACTGGTTCTTTTTGTATTTCTGTAAAGATTCTGGAACTATATTTTGAGCTGCAATTAACTTGGAAATAGCTTAATTCTTTCCTTTTTAGGCTTCTTAGGTGACACTACTGCAGTGTTTAGTCTTTCGCTGATTTTTGTCCCATTAATGCAGCAAAACTCTTATTAGTACCTAACACCCTATGAATTATGAGGTTTCCTTTTCCTGACCACCAGTAGTTTCCTCCTACAGATGCACTGATTCATGTTCAGCTGAACACATGAAGAGGCACTTCTGCAGACCTCTCTCATAGCCCTCTTCTCAGTCCACTCTATCTTGTGCTTCCCCAGATGCCCAGTTCTATTTGGTAACTTGGAGAGACCATCAAGCTTTGCTGGCTTTCCTTCCTTGCTTGTGGCTTAGAAATTTTCTTCAGGTAGTAAGTTGGGACAGTAATAATGCTTACCTCTGTGGGATCCCTGTCCTTCACTGCCTGATGTCCCATGTCTTGTTTTATATATTTTTTTTGTTTCAAGTAAACAGGTAAATCTAGAGCTTCTTACTGCTTTGACAGTAGGAAGTTCTCTACCTCCTTTTAAATCTCTCTCTCAGAGCATTTAGGCTTGAAATCTCCTACCCTGGGGGGGGGGGGAGCAGGGGTCAGTTTTTCTTAGGGATTGGGGTAATAAAAATCTCACAAGCTTTTTCTCTCCAGCTCTTCTCATAATTGTGTATATTCTCCTTTACTTTGGAGCAACATAGGAACCAAGACTCAGATTTGAGTAGGAAGCAAGTCAAAGGTTTTTGTTTTGTTTTTGTCTGCTTTGGGTCCTAAGCTTTTGTGTATATATAGCTAATGTTAAATAATCTCCCATGGAGTTCAAAGATCTAGTAGCCTAGCATTAGATATCTAGCATAGATTTCTGTCAGGGGCTTCAGGAATCTGTGGAGAAGACTTACACATCTGTGGGGAATGTTTATAATATAATGTAGGATTAAGGGAGTGTGAACTCTGGAGTCAAACTAATTTAGAATCCGTGTACAACTGAGTTATATTCTCTAAGTCTCAACAATTTTTCATTTGAAAATAGGGATCTTAAAAATGCATTATCTCTAACAATAGATACAACCTCTCATAGGTTTGTTTTGGAAGTGAGATAATCTATGCAAGTTGCTTAGCCCAGGGCTAGTGTGTACAGTCAGTAATCCATAAATAATCATTTCCCTGGAGAAAATACCATCATAATTCCATCTCAATCTCCTCTAAAACTTCCAGTGGAACCCAAATATATAAGTATTCTAGGTATATAACATTGACTCATACAAATGTACCTTTTTATAAACTATATCCTGGCACAATAAAATTTTAGTTATAGACACAGATGATAATGCTTATAAAAACACTTAAGTAGAACTTCCAGTTTCAGCCTGAATAAATAGAGCTTGGAAGTCATCATTCCTGTCCATATCTCAAGAAGAAAAGCACAGAATATAAAAATCAACATATTTTCTTAGATCCATTAGAGGATGTGAAAGCACAGGGGAAACTGCCACTCTAAAAACTGAAGAGACCTGCAAATACAGTGAATGACCACCTACTTCAAGTAGAAGCTGCCAGAGCCAGTTACTGGTAGGAAGACTTAAAAAGTAATTCCTGGAGGCTGTGGACCAACTTAAGGGTTAAAGACTCCTGGAGCAAAGTCTTAAGGGACCCCACACTTGTGGGTTTTACCACCAAAAGCCCACCAACATATTAAGGTAAGTAGAGGAACAAGAATAAGAATTTTGTCCTACTTCTTTTCAGAAACCATGGGAGGAAGAAGAGTGGAGTGAAATATTTAAAGTATGGGGGGGGGGTGTGGAAATACCAACTTAGAATTCTATATCCAGTAGTTATCCCTTCCAAAGTGAAGAAAAGACTTTCTCAAATCAGTAAAAACTGGCACTCTTTTGCCAGTAGGCCTGCCTTCCAAGAAATGTTAAAAGTTCTTCAGAGAGATCGAAAATTATATGAGTCAGAAACAGATCTATATCAAGAATGAAAGAGCATAAAGAAATGTGAAGGTAAAATGAAACTTTTATTTTCCATATTCATAATTGATCTAATAGATAACTGTTCAAAGTATAACAGTGGCAATATATTGGGATTATAGACAAGAAAAAGAAATGACAGCAATGTTATAGTAATGGGAAGGAGCAATTGGGACTACTGTGTCATAGGTACCTGTACTACCTATGATATGGTATGAGGTTACTTGAAAGTAGCTTAGGTTTTTTGTTTTTTGTTTTTTTTTTTTGAAAGATTTTATTTATTTATTCCCAGGTCTCCAGGATCATGCCCCAGGCTGAAGGTGGCCCTAAACCGCTGAGCCACCCAGTCCACAAGTGTGCAACTCTTGATCTTGGGTTTGTGTGATCAAGCCTCCAGCTGAGTGTAGATTACTTAAAAAAAAATCTTAAAAAAAAAAAAAAAAAGATAAACCTGTAGCTAGGTGAACCAAGAAAATAAAAGACACGAAAGTACTAATATTAGAAATGAGACAGGGGTCATTATTGATCCCATGTATGTTAAAAGGAAAATATATATCATTAATAACCTATGCCCATATTTGATAAATTAAATGGACTAATTCTTTGAAAGATGATGTACCAGAATTCACAAAATTAGAAGTATCTTTTTTTTTTAAGATTTTATTTGTTTATTTGAAAGAGACAGAATAAGGTCGGGGAGAGGCAGATAGGGAGGTTATAGGAAGACTCCCCGCCGAGCAGGGAGCCCCATGCGGGACTTCATCCCAAGGACCCTGAGATCAGGGCCTTACAAGAAAAGTATCTTGGCAGCCCGGATGCCTCAGCGGTTTAGCGCCACCTGCAGCCCAGGGCGTGATCCTGGAGACCTGGGATTGAGTCCCACGTCAGGCTCCCAGCATGGAGCCTGCTTCTCCCTCTGCCTGTGTCTCTGCCTCTCTCTCTGTGTGTCTCTCATGAATAAATAAATAAAATCTAAAAGAAAAAAAAAAGTATCTTAACAGGCTTATATCTATTAAATAAATAACCTTCCAAAAGGAAAGCCTCAGGCTCAGAGAAGTTTCATTGGTAAATCTTGCCAAGTATTTGAAGAAACAAGACCTATTTAAAATCTTTGAGAAAATGGAGGCAGAGCTACTTCCTAACTTGTCCTGTCTTAACCTAAATACCAAAACCAGCTAAAGGCATTACAAGACAGGAAAACTACAGACCAACTTCTCTATTTTGCATAGAGGCAAAAACCTTCAATAAAATATTTGCAAACTGAATCCAGAAATGCATACAAAGAATTATAAACCATGATTGAGATTTATTCTAGTTTTGTAAGTCTGGTTCAAGGTTTAAAAACCAATTAATGTAATCTGTCATATCAATAGACTAAAGAAGAAAAATCAGATTAATCAATAGGTGCAGAAAATGCTTCAAGAAAGATTTACTACAGAGCTACAGTAATCAAGACAGTGTGGTTCTGGCAAAAGGACAAATAGATCAGCAGAGTATCTATACAAATATAGTCAAATAATCTTTGACAAAGGAGCAAAGACAATTCAGTGGAGAAAAGTTAGTCTTTCCAAAGAATAGTGTGAGGACAATTGGACATTCAGGAGCAGAAAAATGAATCTAGACACAGGTCTTTAGCGACAGTTAATTCCAAAATGGATCATAGACCTAAATATAAAATGTAAAATTCTAGATGACGACAAAGCAGAAAATCTAGGTGACATTGTTTAGGTTTTTTTTTTAAATGGGTTTTTACACATAATTGCAAAAGCACAATCCATGAAAGCAAAGCATGAGTTAGAATTTATTAAAATTAAAAGGTTATGTTCTGGAAGACACCATTCAGGGAATTAAAAGCTAAGCCCCAGGCTGGAAGAAAATATTGGCTAAATAACATCTGATAAAATAATTTGGATTCTAGATACATGAAGAACTCTTAAAACTCAACAGGATAAGGGACACCTGGGTGATGACACCAGGGCGTGATCCCTGGGTCTTGGGATCGAGTCCTGAATCAGGCTCCCCGTGGGGAGTCTGCTTCTCCCTCTGCCTGTCTGTCTCTTTCTCTGTCTCTCTCATGAATAAATAAAATCTTAAAACAACAAAAAAACAAAGCTCAACAGTATGAGAACCACCCAATTAAAAAATGGGCAAAAGAGTTAAAAAGACTGCTCACCAAAGAAAATACACAGATGAAAAGATGTTTAAGAAAGGATGTTTAACATCCTGTATCATTAGGGAATTGCAAATTCAAACAATAGATACCATTGTACGTCTTTGATAATGGGCTAAAATTCCCAAACACTGACACCACCAAATGCTGATGAGGATGTCCAACAACAGGACCGCTCAGAATTTAGCAACTCTCAACAGAACTCACTCACTGCTGGTAGGAATACAAACTGGTGCAGTCACTTTGGAAAACAGTTTGGCAGTTTTTCACAGAGGTAAAAAGTTTCAATCTAAGATCAAAAAATGTCACCTAAGGTATTTACCCAACAGAGTTGAAAACTTATGTCTACACACAAACCTCCAGGAACTTTACTGCATATTGCTCAGTGAAAGACCATCTGAAATGGCTGCATCATCTAGGATTCCAACCATAGGCGATTCTGGGAAAGGCAGTAGAGAGATCAGTGGTTGCTAGGGGTTGGGGGGACCTGGGGAGGAATGAATAGGTGAACATGGGACTTGCAGGGCCAAGAGACTATTCTGTATGATTCTGTAATGGATACATGATACATATATTTGCTAAAACCCACTGAAGTGTCAGCACAAAGGGTGAAGCATAATATAATCCACAGATTTTAGCTAATGCATCAGTACTGGTTCCCTAGCAGTAACAAATTGTATCACACAAATGCAAAATGTTAGTAAGTGCAACTGAGGGGGAAGGGAAAAATAGAAATTCTAGTATTGGCTCACTTGTTTCTGTAAACCTAAAACTTTTTAAAATGTATTTAGAACTTTAAGACAAATTATTGTGACACATGGCAGAGAACTGTAAAGCAATGCTCAAAGAAGGTGGCAGCTACTGTAAAAATCTGAATTTCATTTCAAAATTCTATTCTCATGCAGACTGGTACTACAGTGTAACAGTACAAAGATGGAGGAGATGCAACACGCACTGGTTACTATGTACTAAACTGTGGTAAGTCTATGTCTATATTTGCAATTTTTGTCAAATTTGTGTTTCCATGCATTCAGACCTCCTTTCCTCGCCATGACTCCACCTAAACACTATTTCCAGCTCAGCGCCTTCACCAGTGTCAGCACTAAAATCAGCATTTAATTCAATAAATGAGAAAAGGTACCATCACATTAATTCTTCCCCAACTAAGTCTCAATGCTGAGTGCCTGCTGTCTGGCTCACCACTGCATCCTGTTGCCTAGAGTGGTTTCTGCTACAGGAAGTACTCATGATCTGTGAATAAATGAACGGCCTAGCAGCTTAATTCTCTTAACAGTTAAATAGTTATTCAAATTTAAAATAAGTAGTTAAAAATACTATCAAAGAACACCAGACCAAACTAAGGTAAAACTCTAACAAATAACATTTATTTTTCTTTTACATAAGTATTTCACAGCCCAAACATCACATCGCCTTCAGAGAAAGGTGCTTTTATGCCATTATATTTTACTATTTACCACACAGGCATTAAACATTCTCATTAACATGATGAGACAATTTGCTGGTAAACATTTAAACACACAGACATTGGTTTCAATATCAAGAACATTTTTTTGGTCATAACCAAGGAGGTACATCAAAATATGACAACATTGGCTAATAATTTATAAGCAAATAATATTTTAACTCTGCATAGTTTATACAATAGGCTGTGGTAATAAATATCACCAATCTCATCAACTATTAACTGGCCACAAAAAGCCTAACATTCATTTAAATTATGATATGAAATGGTCTATTGGTGTAGTTTCAACATAGCCTTAAATGTGTGGGTGTTTAACCCTGAAAGAAAAAGTACTCAACTGGTATGCTGGTCAACTACAAATACGTCATGTTCACGTATTACATTCCTAACATGAAGGCAGATATTTAAATAGAAAAACTAGCAGTCCAAAAAATGTGAGTGTGCAAATTGTAAGGAAAACATTGCATTTAAATTTGCACTCAATTGCAAGGTACAGTACTAGCTCAGTATAAACACTAACAGGAAAAATAATCAGCAGGAAAGAATGGAAATGACCTCTCCCAGCAGAGAACTAGTCACTCACGCTGCACCACAGCTTAGAAAGTGTTTCTGGTGACCTAGAGTGTCTCACACTTTGTGACTATCCTTCGAACACAGGAGCCTGCAGGCATGCTTCCATCAGTGGTAAGACTAGGAAGAAAAACCTGAATCAGCAACATTTTCTTCCTTAATTTGGTATAAAGGTTCTTCCCCTTATAACTTACTAACATGCTAATTTCTAACCTCAAATGTTCTCTGAATCAGGCTTGCTAAATGCTGTAAAGAATAGCTACCCTTCATACAACACTAGGGTTTTTTGTTTTTAAGTATGTCAGCATGATAACAAGGTACATGCACGGTCACTCTACCAGCCTGTATGGGCAATGCTCAGCTTGGATCAGTTTCAAATTCTACACAGAGATTCTCTGTATTGTTTCCAGTGTGTGAACAGCTGCTTGGAAAGCAGAAATGCCTATCAGTTACTACAGTGTATTTAAACTGAAATGTTTATAAAAATAAAGCCCCAATCGTTAAGTCTACAGAATGTCAAGGATTCTGTTGGGGATGTTAAAAGCATTGGGCAAAACCCTCGTTTTGAGCGTGCCATCTGCCCCACAGGAGAAGATCCGGTTGCCTGGGATGATGTCAATCTGCATGACTCCGGCTCCGAGGTTTCTGAAGATGGACTGCTTAGCATGTTCATTTTTGAATGAATGAATCAGGCCATGGCCTGTCAATCTCCAAACCTAGTTTAAAAGAGTAAAAGTACCAAGTGTATGTCATTAAAAAGAGAAAGAACAAAAGCAAAAACATGGCCTTCACTTCTATTGCCCTGGAACTGGCCTAACTTTCTAGTCCACTGCCTCTTTCCTAACAGCCCCTGGCCCGGGGGATAGTGATCCATTTACTGTTCTTACTTTTCACTGTCTCTTCACATTCTCTTGTAGTTTCATATTAACTACAGATACTCCCCTCTTAATTCAGTTAGATATTTAAGTTAACTAAATGCATGGCTAATGTCAAGGGAAGCCCTGGGGCAATAGAGGAAGAAACATACCACGGTCTCACTTCCCCAGAAACCTCACCTCAACTGTACAAAACAAAGAAGATACTAAGGGCAGAATGTGGGAAAGAGAGGAGGGTCTGAAGAGCCAAAAGAGTGTTGCAAAAAATCCCATGCATTAACTTATTCTTTACTTAAAATAGACTTCTTCAAAGCTTTTCAGTGACCTAATAAGCTTGACTGTCTGGTTGTCCAGACCCTTACCGGTTTAGAAAGAACTCCACAGTACTAAGCGAGTAAAGGTGTCAAGAGACCTTCAATATCTCTGCAAAGCATCACTTTACACTCTCATTTCAAGGACTGCAGGGGGGCTGCTGCTCCCCAATCTTGACAGCAGCATGTACAAATAACACTTAGCACATGCCACCTCCTGTACTGACTCACCTTTATGTTACCTTCTGCCGAACCTGTAGTAAAATATTCCTCACAGGGATCCAGAGCCAGAGCCTTAATAGCTGAGTCATGTGCCTGGAAGGTGTGAATCAGTTGTCTTTGCCTGATGTCAAAAATGCAGACGTAGCCTTTCCTGCCTCCAGAGATGAGGAGTTGCTGTTTTGGTGCATACTGGAGTACCGTGGCACCATGATCGTGGCATGTGAAGCCTGAAGGAGGAAACATAAGAAGTCTTTCCCAAATAATTTCTATCCTGACAATTCTGGTAATGTTTAAATGCACATTTAGATAATACAGAAACTACTGACAAATTTTTAATTTCAATTTCTATAATCATGATCCAAGAATTTAAAAAAGATCCCAAGCAGGGACAGAAAAAATGTTCTTATCTGTAACCTCAATATGAAAACACGTGCAGGGAGTTTAAATGTTAAGCCCAAACTAAGTTACACTGCCTTGTAAGAAGCCTGTAGAAGCAAAACCTGTAGAGGAGACCAAGCTTCTCTGTGATCCACTCAGCCACCACATTAATCCCCACCATGACAAGAATCTACTGTATCCTAGTTCCTGCCCATACAGACTCATTGCAAGTTGTTGTCAGGTAAGTAACAAACTCAACTACAGTTGTGTGAAAATGACCAGCTACAAGATGAGTTAGCTTTCCCAGGATCTCTGCATTTTAATATAATTAAAGCCTTAAACCAGTATGTGGTAAATCTTTAAGAGCTATTAATTATTCACAGAAAAAAAAATCTGCAATCATGGGGCACCTGAGTGGCTCAGTTAAGCACCTGCCTTTGCTCAGGTTATGATCCCGGGGCCCTAGGATGGAGCCCCACGTTGGGCTCTCTGTTCAGTAGGGAGTGTGCTTCTCCCTCTCCCTCTGTTTGCGCTCTCACTCTCTCAAATAAAACGTTTAAAAACTGCAAACAGATAAAACAGAAACAACTATACTTTCAAAATGTCTATCCATATAAAAAAAGACTGAAAAATGTTTCTTTAAAAGAATCCACCTAGCCATGTTTAGCCCAAATATACTGGAACATGGGACCTTCTCTCAACAGTATCATATGAGAAAGGGATCCTTAAGGCACCAATTGGGAAAACTGTCTTAAAAGGAATAAAAGGAATAATACTTAATAATACTTAAATGGCATTCTTCATATTTCTTGTTCTTATAAGGTTAAAATATTTCCTTTCTATGGAGCTCAAATACTTTGCAACTAATTCCTAAAAAGCCTTGTAGTAGCACCAATCTCCATACCATATTTTCTAAATGGAATACAAAACAAAGACTATTCTATGCTAGCTGGGTATTTACCTCAGCGATAGCCAGATACTCATTTACGACACACGAAAAACAAAACACTGGTTAGAGTAAAACCAGGAAAGCATTCCTTCATATTGTATTAAAAAAACGATCACAGACCTTAACTCACTTACCATGAACGAGGCTGTTTCCAGGTGATATCAGTGTGTCCCAGAGGCAAACGTTTCTTAAAGAGAGAACACAACGATTCATGATGTGCTTTTTGTTACTGGTTTTTACTCATTGCATCTTACTACCTCTTTTGTTTATACTTATTTATTAAGCAACTAGGACAGGGGAAGAAGCTGGGGATATGTCTAAGAGTTTATCTTTTCTGAACCACACAGTCCTGTCTCACATTGTCCCACATGTCTCTGCCATCTCATCCCCAACCCCTCAACTTTTCCATTACCACTCGAGGGAAAGAGACACAATTTCCTGGGAAGAAGGGATGCTTCTGAGCCCCAGGGGTTACCACTGCCAGGAAATTAGAGGTATTATTCATGGCATGTGTTGCCAATGAAATGAAAGCAGTGTCAGGTCAAAGAAACATACTGAGCATCAATGATGGCTATAGAGTCTCAAGAACCTGACAGGAAGGGAAAAAAAAAAAAGCTTTTAACATAATCACATATGCTTATTGAAAGCCTACCTTAGGAGTATTTGCTCTTCTCTTTTTTGGTAAGGAAAACTAAGAATTATGCAACAAAGTTTTTATATTCCTGAGATGGAAAAACTCTTCTAGGTTAAAAAAAAAAATCCATACTTTGTAGCAAGAATACCTTTCTGCTTAAAATGTGCTTATTTCTTATTATGCTTCTGTCAACTTACCTATTGTCATTGGACTGTCCAGATGTGGCAACTAGACTTGAAGAGGTAATAAATGCAAAGTCACTTGTGGCTTTACTGTGGCACTGCCAACTCTACAAGAAACAAAGTACAAATGATGTTACCTAAAAGTCCAAGATATTCCAGTATTGCACAAACACACAGTTCTGCTAGTAGTATATGCATGAACTAAGAACAGTTGTTAAAAACCTAGAATAAAGAATAAATGACAAAATAAATTACCTATTATTTGCATATTTAGCTAATATCCAATAATATTTTAAAACTGGAAGAGTTGGTAAAAATATAGAATTAAAGGGCTTTTCTTTAGATTATCTAGCAAAGGAACAGGATGAACTTAACCAAGCCATTTCATTATATTAAGGGCCCAGTCAAACTCAGTGTTAATAATCTAAAATACATTTAATAAACTTTCCATAATAACCTGTATCATAATAAACAATAATAACCCAAGGAGGGAAACTCCTAGTAGTCTGCCCCTCTAGTAGTCTGAGACTACACTGTGAAGAACTCAAGTCATATTAATTTTGTAACCTAAATGCAAATATCCACCCTTTATTACCACCTCCACATTCCTGCTTTCGCCTTCCCTTCCACGTGAGGATTTTTAGCAATAATAAAAACAAGGTCAAAAGAGGTCCTGCAAATAATCTGCAGGCTTATGGCTGCCCACAACCACTCCTAAGGATATTCCAAGCACCAGGGAAAATAATTTACTGAGCCAGTCATGACTTTTCTTGTTAGATCAGGTGAATGAATACAAATTTGGAGGCAAAGACTCAGGGGGGTGTCCAGGTATTTAAAAGAGACAGTATTCGGTTTGGAATTATCATGGTATTAATCTGAGTGAAGGCAAAAGGATAGATTCAAGATTACTTCCAATTCTGTAAAGCCTTTATGAGAGTGTACAGGGTACTAATTTAAGAGAAATATCTTGTCTCATCTACATAATTAAAAACATATATATAGTCTAGAAAAGAAAATTAAAATATATATGAAGCCAGAAGTTCTGCACAAGATAGCACTACCTCCCAGCCTTCCTATCATACCGGAGCCCCCACCAAGCAAAGATATATTTGTCTGCATCACCAAATATTTCAGTATGGTTTGGATTAATGAATGAAATGCCCTCTTGGGACTGGTTAATTTATAACCAGTAAGAAAAATTTGGGAGCAAATTAGAATACACAGAACTGTTAGAATTTTATAGTGATTCATTTTAGGTACTATATTAGAAATCTATCAAGAAGTTAGAGTTTTCAAAAAAGCCTCTATGTTCTCTGGGAGTGCTGAGTGATACTTACCATGTAAGGTTTAGGATTTGATGCAGTTTGGTTTACTTGCCAGATACTCAGAAAACCCTCTCCATCTGCAACACCACACTATAAGAATGGCATAAATATTAAACACAGCTTCTTAGTAAGCATATTGAAGGCAAAATCATTGATGAAGAGTCACTCAAACATCACATAATGTCCTGCCAACACCTATTTCTATTACTGTAGTTCCCAAGAAAGTCAGGCCCTATAAATATCCTGCAACCTTTTAAGTGTTTTTCTGTACCTATTTCATTTTCCTCCAAACACCTCTAAGATAATTTAGTAAGAAACTGGAAGGTTTCTCTCAGGCGCTTGACTGTGCTTATAGGTACCACCAACACACTCAACAGAAAGAGTTCTTTACCTTCATAGTATTTAATATCTTTAAGTGGATGATTGAGCCATACAGAATTTTAAAGAGCTGTGCTTTATTGGGAGCCAAGGGTGTATTTAAGCAGACACCAATAAACTGCCTGCCCAGCATAAATCCAGGTCACTGAATTGGTTTTTAGATGTAGTGTTACTAACCATATACTCATAAATATATTTTTCACATGAATTAAGCAGTAAGTCTCAAAAACCAACCTTGTTGCCTTGTGAATTAAAATATAACCTGGTAACTCTTGCGTTGCCGGCTTGGCGGAAACAGACAAGTTGCTGAGGTCGTGTCCATTCAAACATTCGTACACTACCATCCTGAGCACCTGTAAGATCTGAAACACAAAAGGAAAAGCACAATATATGAAAAAGCTACAGAGTTCCAATATTTCCCATTCTATAAATGAACTTCAAAACGACAGAGGCCTATAC